ATGAAAATAAATAAACATTAAATAATGTTTGTAATTATCAAAACACTAGGTTGGGCTCGTGAATTGTAATATTGTTATTCAGATGCCTTGTCGTGGAGAGTATCCTTTGTATATTTCTCTATTTTCTACACTCCAAATGTCATACAAGATTATTTTCCTGGTGGTGCACATTATATTTGTTTGGTTGCATACACCTGTATTGCACTTTATATATTTGGATCATTAATTTTTTTTTTTAAAAGAGTTGATGTGGAGTGTATCTTGGATCTAATGTAAATGAAAATAGTTAAATACAATTATAAAATTTTAGATTTTCTATTTCAATCAAGTTGTAAAGTAAAGAGTTGTGAAAACCATTAAAGATGTTTGCTTATATATACTCATAAGTCTTTAAAAAACAATTTCCTTCTTCCTTTGAGAGCATTCTATTTTAGAATTATATAGAAAACCAAGAGCCAAAGGACTAGAAGATCTAAATAAGTAAGAATATTTATAAAATAAAATCATTCATAGGTGTAGAAAGCAAGGCTTGTTATGGTGGAGCTTGATCACCTTTCTTTTTTGAAGAACCTAATTTGTATTAAAAATTTGAGAAAAATAAAAATTATTTTTTTATACACACCAATTCATGCATGATTCAAACATCTTGCATTATATTCATATGGGTGGTAAATTATCATAGAGGATTTATTATTTTTATAGGTTTTTTTTTTTGGTGTATATGTTCTAGCACAACTTAGTAGTAGTGTTATAAATATATATGAACATATCTACCCTGACATGTATACATACATGCATTATACTTTCTACTTTGTACACTAGCCTATAACACAAGACAATGGCAAGCAAGTAACAACCCATTGCATCCAAGGCCAAGTTTGTTATTCTTATTGATATATGGCCATTATACTACAAATTTTTTTTTTTTTAACTTTGATCATATAGACTAGAGTGAAGGTAGAGTCTAGAGTGCATTAAGTGCATCTTAGTGAAGCTATATAGTAAGTGAAGAATTAATTTTAAATGCATCCCTATTCAATTAATTTTTGATAAAGTCTAGATTAAAAATTTGAATCTAGATCCTTGATTTTAAGTAAACAATGAGTTACGTATCATGCATACAAAACCTGCTTGGATTTTAAATTACATGAATTTGGTGGCTAGTTGGATGCCCACTCCAAGCAAGCGTAAGTCTAGATACGCCTTCAATATCTCCTTTCCATGATGTGGTTTTCTAACCTAAATAAATTGTAAAATTAAAATTAAAGCTAGATTTTGATCTGAACAGTAAAGCTAAATCATTGACTAGGTTAGAGTGTTTCTATGAAACAAGAATTTTAAATAATCTCAACCACTCTATTGATTTTGTTCCTTTACCATCTAGTAGGTTTAAAACTTAAATCCTTGAATCATACATTGTAAACCTTAAAAAAAAAAAGACTAGTCTTCACTTTAATTAAAATATTTCTTAAGATGCAAATAACTCTAGAGGCTTGTTTCCATAAGGATTTTAGAACCCAAAAGAAAAAAATAAAACCTACTTCAGTTTGCTAAAGTAGATAAAATAAATTTTGATGTAGATTAAAATTTTTATCCTTTTTTTAGTTTCACTTTCAAAATGATAGGTAAATATTTTTTTTTTATCTTTCAAGTTGAATTTAACATTTTCTATGTTAAGTTTAAATATGAAAATAAATATCAATTCTATTTTTAAATTGATAGTAAAGAAGTAGTTTATCTTTCAATGTGGTATAATGTTAGCTATACATATTTGATTAAAGAAATATAATTCTAAATAGTGTCACTTCAACTTTGTTTATAATTATAAAGTAAACTCACAATCCAATGAACTATTTGGATTATAAGCCTTTTCTCTTTTGATCCTGATGGATCATTTTGATGTGGATATTCCTATATATTTCCTTAGACCAATGAATTTAACATTAATTAATTATGTGTGATGGTAGGTGGTAAGAGATGAAATCATTGTTGACTTTTTTATTTAATAGATTAGATAGTTTTGGTCGATATGTATGGTTGCTTATAATCACCTAAATGGGGTGGGCTAGCGATCATGAAGGACGACTTCCTAGGTTAGTGGTCTCCATTGCACGTGTAGGAGGTGCACTGACCTAGCGTATCGTCAAAGAGGAGCTCTCATGCCATAATTTTTTAAGGGGAAATTCACATATGCGTCGTCCCTACTAAAAAAAATTGATATGTATGGATACCTGAGATAAATTCAATGATTAGATATCCATTCATTAAAGTTAAATGATCTTTGATTTCATAGCTAAGATTTATCACATTTGTATTTTGGTATTGCCATCCTTAACAGCAGACTAATAGATTTGAACCATGTGAAAAAGTGCACTCGAGTTTGTTGAAAATCAAATACAAATTGTATATTTAAGTAAATCAAAAAATTGTACTTAACTTGTAATTCTCTTGATAAATTCAATATAAATCTGAAAACATAAAGAAGATTTCTATGGATTGAAAAAGTGATGCATAATATTTTAAAAATGATGGTGTTAAACAACATGTGAGTGTGTGTGTAGGGAAACTCACGGCGGGGCCTACACATTAAATAAAAAGAATAATTACAAGGTCCTTAAAGGGAACTCAAACTCACTATGTCTCATACGATCTACAAAATTAAAAGGAAAAGAAATAACCTACGGGCTCGAGTTCCCTACTAAGAAAAAATATAAAGAATCTTAGGTACATTCTACGGTCCATAAGAGCGAGCACCCAAAATATAATAGAGTCGCAAAAAACACCAAAAAGCTCTATGAATCTCCTCCCAGGGACAGCCTCATGATCTTTAATTAAACTTTATAAATGGTTAGTGAGATAATTAGCACACTTACTTTCAATCACCATCAAAATTATTTGATAGATTCTTTGGGTTGTCTTGCACATCCCTAATTTTAAGTTATTTCAACTCTAAAATTTCATGCTTGTAATTTTTAGGGTAAAATCAAAATAAACATCAATAAATCATTAAAATTTAAATAAACTCCAAATAAGCTCAATTTTGTTTTGCATTCGATTTCAACTAGTAATGATTTGAGGACCAAAAAGATTTAAGTTCATTTGATTGGACAAATCATAAAGCCTAATTCTAATACTTAACAAAAAACTAATTATACTTCTAATATTTAAAAATATAAATAAATAAAATAATACAATCTAAATTTCTTTAGATTCACATTAAAACATAGAATAAAGGAAAAAATAGTTGTAAAAGTTAATGGTCTTGAAAGTCAATTTACATGAAAGTTTAACTTAGATCAAAGTAATAATCAGTAAATCATTAAAAATCATATAAAACACTAAGCAACTTGAAATTTCTAGGATACCCTTTTTAATTCATTAATTCATATGGTAGATTTCAAGAAAAACTAAATAAATTTTGCCACCTAAAACATAAAACCTAATTGCTATCCTAATGAAAATCTTTATTTAGACTATAAGGTTTGGAAAAACCATAAATAAATAGATAAATATACAAAATAGAATGCTTTGAACTCACAATGGCCTTGAGGAAAAAAATAATTTAATATAGTTTTAGGATAGAACGATCAATATAATAAATATCAAACTCTAAGCAAATCCAAAAATCAATAAAACATTAAAGATGGAACAAAATTATAAATATCCTCAAACTTTTCAAAATTATATTTGGGTCGCCCATGAACCATGGAAGAAGCATCATGAAGTTTTCAGTTTTTTTGTACACATAAAATATAAACCCTAGTTTGCTACTTCTTAAGCACTCCCTATTGAACTCAAATTGGTAAATTTTTTTTTTTTTAATAAATCTTTAAAAACCCAAAATAATTTTTTGTAAAGATTATATTATCATTAGAATCAATGAAAATAAAAATTTTGGGAATTAAAGGTAAAAAATATATTTAAGTGAATTCAATAAAATGCACTAATATATAGAATGAATAATAATAAACTAAAAATAGTTCAAATTAATTCCACATTCTTATAATACCCTCCGGAGCTAACCTCTAGACAATATGAGAAGTTTTGATTAATTTTGAGCTCATTCAAGCACAATATAAAAATATGGACTTTTAATCTATTGAAAGAATAAAAGTAAGTCTAAATAATTTCAAATTTTATTGAGAAGATTCTTGAGGTTATTCTAAACTTTTAAAAATTTTAATGATTTTTTACAGTTCACTTAAATAAATAAAATTTTGGTAAATGTATAAAGTTATCTTTAACTTGAAATGATTTATTTCATGAATTTTAGAATTCGTTCAAATAAAAAATAATAAAAAAATAACAGGGTCAAAGATCGATAGAATATTAATAATAAATTAATAAATAGCCCAAACATTAAGAAATTCACCAAAATGTAAGAAAATTAAAAAATATATTATACATTTTGGTAAATGTATAAAGTCATAGGGAATTATTGAGTGAATAAATAATTTAATAAACATCTATTCTATACCTTTAGATTAACCAAATATTTTATTTGAGATAGAAACTTGTAAATTAATTAAAAATAAAATAAAATTTAAAAAATACAAAATAAATTTATATAGGTTCATAAAAATCTTAAGAAAAAAATATACTACATCGAGTTAAGAGATAAAAAAATAAAAAGAAATATTTCTTTTATAGGCTGTTGAATAACTGCATAAAGAAAACTCTAAAACATTAATACCTAAATTGGAACAACTATGAGTTAAAAAGTAAACAAAATTAGTAATAAAATATAGAATAAATAAACAAATCATAGAGTGACACCCACATGATCTAGCTCACACTAGATGATAGATAAGACACTAACCTTAGACTTTTAGGTTAGGTCATCTACTTAATTTGCATACTTTACTTTCTTATATTTTGTGTTTTTGCATTTTATATTTCGATCTAGAAAAAATATCTTAACTTAAAATAAAATAAAAGATGCTTTGTTATAAGATTTGTCTAGAGCTAGAAATTGAAACTCTAGTTAAGGAATAAAGTAACTAACACCAGAATAATGACCGACATTTAAAACCCTTTGATTTATATAGACCAAAATTTTTTATTTACACAAAAAATAAATTTGTATGTTAATGACATTTGGAGGTTTGACTATAGGATAGCACGATTTTCATTTTGATAACTAACTTTTCTATATGTTAAAACTATTTCTAAAAAACATAATAAATAAAAGTAATAAGGAACAATATCTAAGAATAAAACTGAAATAGAACAGAAAATACCCTTTAGGATAAAATGAAAATAACATAGCTTAACATGGTGGCTAAGTTGTAAGTCCTAATAAATAATTATAGATTAGCCTATCCTACTTTGCATATAGACCTTAACTTCATCGTTTTAAAGCATTTAGGTGTGTTTATTTAGTAGTAAACTTCAGAAAATTTATAAGTTCAAAATAGTTAGGCTTTTCAAAACCCTTTGTTGGGTAAAGATATAAGTCTCACATCATATATTAGGTTTGAGCTAATATCTATAATGCTCACTTTAATTACTTCTAGGATTTAATCCCAACAATTTATATTGTATTTCCTTTTCTTTTGGGAAATTTCCTAATCTTGTATTAAAAACTACAAACCTTAAATTTGTGATAAAATGATAACAACAAAAAAAATTTCAACTTCTAAAACTTAAAGGCCAATATAGTATAGCTTAGAGTTACTTATGAGTTTCTCAAAATCTAATACTCCCTCTTGACAAAATTTTTATCATGAGATTAGATCTCTAAATCCTCTCATTCATTCTTAGAACTTATGTCTTCTTAGCCTGGACTAGACCCAACACATAAGGACCATATGGGGAAACCAAAAAACCTAATTGGAGACAATACCTAGGCTAAAAGAGGACTACCAAATCAGTTGAAAAATCCCATCCCATACTTTCCTTCACACCATAAATCAAAACCCTAAAATGTATTGCATACATGTATCTTCAATGTCTCCCTTAGTCCACATAGCCACATCCCATTTAATATTTTTTACCCATCACTGACACCTCTAATTATCAGTATTAACCAAGAGGGATGGCAGCATGAGAATTGAAGATCTAATAATCTCCCTATCCTGTTGATCTCCAAGAAAGAATTTGATCTCAACACACTGCCCATGATAAGAATAATAGAACACACACATCCTATAGGATTAGAAATGGCTCCAAACTAAAATTTGACTTGCTCTAATGACTCCTCCATGGAAAAAATCTATCTCCTTCCCTAGGTCTCCCAAATCTTAGACCAAAATTGAAGTAAAGTATCCCTTAGACCTAGACTTATGTAAATGAAAGAAAACCCCCTTCCTTTTCCAATAATGTTGAGGAAAATACCATTATTGTGCTCACTAATGTAAGGGTTTGAATCATTTTGAAGGAAACATCCACTCCATGGACATTTTGTTGTTGGATGTGAAATGCTCTTTATTTAGATCCTCTTGGATGAATTTCATATGATTTTATCCATTTGATCTCTAGGATCATAAGATTTTGCATGGAATGCTTCTACAGGTTTAAGATGAAATTATAATTGTGTGCTCTAACTATATCACTTAGATGGTTTTTAATCATCGCTAGCTCGACCTCCCAGTAGTTTCACCCATATAATGGTGGCCATCTGATCATGGATTAAGTAGCTACCATTGAATTTGATCTATTAAGGAAATAAACCATGAATCTAATAACAAATAAATATGTGTTGTGTGGAAATCATGAGTCGACTGGGATGTTGATTGTGTAAATTTCATTGTTTTAAAAATTTAAAGGATTATAATGGGTAAAACTTCCAAAATTTATTACTCCTACTCTAGTGGATTGTTTGATGTGTTTGACCCCTCTATGGATTCATGATACAAAGCACTATCACATGAAATAAAGTTTGAAATTTTTAGTTTTATTTATTACATGTATTTCATTAAATATAAAGAATATTAAAATTTTTTCATGGCTTGTGTAAATCTCTAATTTCCCTTAAACTTTCAAGGAAAACTCTTTGATATGTTCCTTGCATCTCAAAATTATTTCACAAAAGTTTGTGGTATGTTTTATCCTCAAATGACATTTCAAGTTAGAGGCCATTATTATGACCTAGAATTTAAATTTTATGTATTTCTTAATACATGGAGTTTCTTACCATGATTTTCATGTGATTGTTATAGGCTCATGTAAGGGTTACTTTTACACTAAATTTATTCCAATCCAA